AGCCGGAAACAGGAAATCTTGCCAGAAAAACCATCTTCACCGGCTCTAGGGTGTGGGGAGCCTGTGGGCGCCAGGGGTGGGGGCCGCAGGACGTCGGTGGAGCTGCAAGGAGGGCAGGCCTGGGCTGGAGTCTGAGTGCAAGGGCACGGCTCAGTGGAGATGAGCTCAGGCATCTTTGAGCCCCTGCTCCAGCCCTATCCAGATCACAGACCCACCTGCCTGTGGCCCGAGAGGGTGAGACGTGGCTGGGGTGACACGGGCCTCAGTGGTTTCGCTAGCACATCGCACAGGCAGCGGTGGGGGAGTCACCAGTCATCCAGACTTGCTCCACGCTGTTGGACAAGGGCCCCCAAGGGAAAGGCCTGGACCTGGAAGGGGCCAAAGTGGCCAGCTCCCCTAGAAGCCCAGCAGGATCCATGCCCCGGACACCCAGAGGGACTTGGGGAAACCTGGGGATGGCTCTGGTTTCCACAAGTCCAGCGTGGCTCACCCGACAGCGCTCTGCTGAAGCTTTGCGTGCCCATGAGAAGATCCAGGATTAGCTAAGGGAGAATTAAGGAGGTCCTGGAGGAGCCCGCTGTGAATCCAAAGGGAAAGTCGGCCTGAGCCTGCTCTTCATGCAAGAGCCTGCCGTGTGATGCATGCCCAGCAAAGGGCTGGCGGGCAGGCACGCCGAGTCTGGGATGCTGCAGACTCAGGGCAGCGGTGGGCCTTGCCTGGGCTGCCCTGCACTCCAGCAGGATCCCAGCGACTCTCCCATCGGGCAGTCAGTACTCAACAACCCACCGAGGGCACTCAGTGACCAGGCCCCCCTCTCACGTCCCCCAAACCAGGCCCGAGCTGGACTGCGACACGTCAGAACAGGCTTGCTCCCCAACCTCCCCGCCCCTGCCCCCCAAACGCAGCAGCTGCAGACCACTGCTGTACCAGTGTCCCCAGAAGCCGAGAGGACACGGCCAACTTGAAACCCAACTTGACTCCCGTTTGCAAAAAAGAAAGGAGTCAAAAGCAGCTTCCTGCCTACCCGTCTCCCCCACGCACACCAATCCCTGCTAGTTTCCGGCGACATTTTCTGCTTTTAAAGTGCTTCATTGTCTCTATTCACCCGGCGTGAGAGCATCAGGAAAAGCGGCTTGCGGAAGAAACAGCAGAACAGACCAGGCACCAAGCGGGGCCAAACGCACAAAGCAAAGAGCCTGATGAAGCAGAGAGAACTGGGTTTTTCCCTCTCTCTTTTAATTTCTTTCCTTGATGGTAATTGTGGGTGTCATTTCCAACAACAGCCAGCAAAAACATTCAGATGCCAGCGTGCACTTGGGCCCTGTGGTGAGAGGCGGCAGCACGAAAGTCTCAAGCAGACAGATCTTTAAATTGGCGGAGTCCTGCTCATCTCCGGCTTGACAGGCCTGGGCTCTCAAACCGAGCGCCCGGAGGAGAACCACAGAGCAATGAGGCTGGGGTCTAAGGACAGCAAATCGCTCCTCGTCACCAGCCATAAAGCATTCGCAGAGCAAGCATGGGGCTTTGCCACCTAGAATAAATCAGTGCGGCCAAGAGGCAAAGCAAGTCCGCAGTAGGAGTGTGGCTTTGATTTGTTGTTTAAAAAACAAAACCAAAAAACCACCCCCAAATCAGGCCGTGGAATGAGATTATGCACCGCTACTCACGCGCCGCTTCATGCAACACGCAGCCAGCTCGCCTCGCAGAGGACGGGGAAGCAGGGCCTTGCTTTCCATAGGACTTGGAGTAAAGTAATAAAACCTAATGCCTGTTTCATCCACCCAACAGCCGGCGGTGGAAACAGCTCCGTTCACATGCATCAGTTTGGCCCCTTACCCATAAAATGGCTCGGCAAGGCAAACGGATGATGCGTCTCTACCAGGCCCCAGTGGGACCCGGGCCTTGCAAGTGGCTTGTTTTGTTTGTGAGCAGAAACCAGCCTCGCTCAGGCAAAGCAGGGTTCAGGTTGCTATTCTGGTAAACGGTACCGCTGCTTGCCTCCGTACGGCGCATGGCGTATCCGCGGCCCTCTGCAAACGGCCCCTCCTGGACCGCCGGCGATGGAATATGCAGCAAAAAAAATTGATCCCTGCTGTCTCAGCTGGCCTGGTTACGCAGTGGGTTTGGGAGCATCCTCGGCCTGTGGGATCTAACACATCGGGAGGCATCGGGGTGGGGGGGTCGGAGTCAGGTCTCCCTCAGCGGATGAATCATCCCCAGGCAGAGGGACCCAGAGGAGGGGAAGGGCCTGCAGCAGACCCCAGCACAAACGGGAACGGCGTCCCCGCTCTGCTGTGCTGTGCAGCCTGTTCCTGCAGAGGCAATGCAACCGAGGCCATAAACCAACCGCTTACATAACACCCCGCTTCCTAAGCCGCCTGCGTGACAGCCTGGCAGCATCGTTCCTTAATTATCCCGGCATGATCCGCTCAGCGGCACCCGGCTAACTGCTCTGGCGCTAAACATCAACCGGCTGCTTCCAAGGAGCAGAGGTGCCCGCAGCCCCCACGGGCAAAAAACCCCCCCAACCCAAAACACCGTGCAAGGTTGAGCCCCTTCTCCATCACGCACTCTGCAAAAGGGAGATGCCTTCAGAGCCCCTGAGATGCCCGGGGCCACTGGATAAAACGCAGCGCAGCTCTGAGCCAACTGCACCAAGATGTCTTATCCGAGCAAAACACGGCGCCTTGTTTCTGCCCCGCAGCCCGAGGGCGGGCACAGGAGCGATGCGCCCAGGTAGATCCCACCTGTCCCCAGCCCGCAGCGGAGGGGCAGCAGCCGGGCAAACCCCCCCAGCGCGGGGAGGCGGTTTTGACAATACAAGCCGAAGCCAGGGAAGACAATGAAGGTGAAATCAAACGAAGGCAAGGGGATATTTGATGCCTGCCTTTTCTCTGGGGCTGGGCAGCAACCTCCGGCAGCGCCCGCCCAGCCGGGTGCCCCGGG